ACATATACAATCTTACCAATTCTCTACTGAATCTATTTGCATGAAAGGCAAAAAATGAACATACTATGGCTTGTTTGGGACGGCTTTCTTAATGCTTCTTAAAGCAGCTTCCTAGTACAAAAATTTTAATTTTTGTAATAGGAAGCTGCTTTAAGAAACAATAAGAAAGCTATCCCAAACGAAGCTTGTCAATTTATTAATTGGCACCTAATGCAATCATAACCTAGTATGGATTTGAGAAATCCCATAACACAATCCCACTTTCACTATGAATTAGATAATGACTGCAATAATCAACTTAGTTTTTGAATTTCAACCTTAATGAGATTTAATAGAAACAAACTACTGAGCAAGAAACAAAATTTAAATAGAAACAGAGTTAAGAGAATAATATCATCGAAAATATAAATAGTAATATCACACTGAGATTTTATTTGGAAAGATTTTATTATTATTTTTTTAAGTATAAAAATTAAAATTTTTATTAAAAAAAATATTTTAAAAAATAGTAAAAAATATTTTAAGAAGCAGTAAAAAAATCGTGCCAACTAATATCTTTGTGATAAAAGAAAATGCTTATTTTATTAGACTATATATATAGAATATTTAATATGCAAGTAAAAATTATATTAAAATTTGTATGGTGATGATAGAGGGAACGTGGATCACAAGAATTGGGGGGTGAGGGACGGCGGGGTCGGCTATAGAATGAAAGCGAGCTTACGTGTCACAATCCTCTCCGACGCCATCACACAGTAGTTATCACATCATGCCCATGCTGATCCGATTCATGGAGCCATGGCATCCATCCAAGTTGCACATGCATGGCCATCCTTGATCAATTTCAGCGACCCAGAAGAGCAGAGCTGGGGCCCGCCGTGGGCGTTATTTTATAAAATAGCGGATTAAGTCTAAGAATTAGTTGAAGGAATATATTTAATACAAATTTTTTAAAAAAGAGTAAATGTGTCTGAGAAAATAGCGCATTCAGAATTCATCAAATTTAGCATATTTTGAATGCGCTATTATTATTAGCGCATTCAACTCAAATTTAGGGTTCATTTGGGACGGTTTTTTTATTGCTTTCTAAAACGGAGTTTTAGTACAAAATTTTTTATTTTTTAACTAAAACTTCGTTTTAGAAAGCAATAAAAAAGCCGTCCCAAACGAAGCCTTAGAGAGAAAAAGAGCTGGAAATAGAGAGAGCGTTGAATGCGTAAAATTCTTTGGCGTATTTTTTTGGGACTTTTAGGTTGAGTAAGGTAAATTCATACACACATCACATATATATAGACTCGAAAAAAAAAACTCTTAGTTAGTAGCCTAAGCTTTTACCTAACAGACCAAAGTGAGATGTGTGCTTGACTTTATTCACTTAAAGCATTAAAGAGAAATCAATCTTAATATAATATAAATTTTTAGAACTTTTTTTGTATATATGCTATTTCAAATTTAATATCAATATAAGTTTCATACTTGGTATTTCTACATAATTTTTTTAATTCTTCATTCTAAATCCAATGCGCCATTTATCCATGTTGTCTGTTCTTTTTATAAAATATTAGATATAAGTCGCCCGTCAAACAGGCGACGTTTATAAGACCACTAACAACGGGCGACTTTTATAACGGCTACCTGACTCATCTCTGCCTAATCAGCCTAAGTCGTCAATTAAAAGAGCGATTATGCCTACTTTTAAATATTTTTAAAGTAAGCTTAATTACTTAATTAACCTCCTAATCATTCTTAGAGTGAAAAATTGCCCAAATTTCATTTGACTACTTCTTTATTACTGGTTTCTCGCTTGTTAAAAAAAAATTACTGATTTCTCACTGTTTAACATTGTGATGAAAAATTGGTTTCGACAATCATAACTGATTTTATAGTAACTTTATAATTGATTTTATAAAATGCTGCAACCGTCTCAAATAAATCCTTAGTTCGATTGCTGAGTTTTCTTTTGTTCAGCTTAGTCAAAAAACACTATGTCTTGCTTCATGCCATTAAGATAAGACAAACATATAGATCTTATAAGATATGATTACTTCGTAGAAGAAGCAATATGCATTTAATATGATATCTTAACAGTGCAATAAGATAACTATGACAACAAAGGTTTTCTTGGGAACACTATCACTTCGTTTCCTTCTTTTGTTTTCTCTGTTGTCTTATGTAATTAAAGGTGAGATAGGCATGTTGTATGTGTGCAAGTAGGGCATCAATATTTTATGGCTTAGTTTGAATAGCTCATATGTATATATATATATATATATATCGTTAGAAAATTTGAGTCAACAAAATATATGCTATGTATTAGCGGTGTACAAAGATTCAACGATAACATATAAAAATAATAAGACCAGAAAATTATTGGAAAATTTACATACATAGCATATAAAAATAATCCAGCTTCTTTTTTCAGGGTGGACAAAAAAATTTTTTTTGGTGGGGGATGGACAAAGATGGTTAATATTGATAAAATTAGGGCAAAATAATTTTTTGAGAGGGGGCAAAATACCCAAAATATACAAAATATTTTAAAATCCTCTCTAAAACTTAAAAAAATAGGGTGGGCATTTGCCCCCCCTCACCACCATGGGGATCCGCCCATGCATACATACTACTTTATAAAATCCTATTTACATATCTAACACTCAAAACTTTAATATTACATGCATATCATCCTATATTATTTTAATATCAAATATACCACTCATATTTCTTTCATACCACCAATATTATTCATTTCTACCACTCATATTTGATATGAAATAATATACCACTCATATTTCTTTCATACCACCAATATTATTCATTTCTACCACTCATATTTGATATGAAAATGAACTATAGATGGTATGTATGTAATATTAAAGTTTTAAGTGTTAAATATGTAAATAGAGTAGTATAAGGTGGTATGTATGTAAATCTCTACATGAAAAATGCAGAAAGTTAAAAAATCACGGGGCCTCACCTAGTTGCAAAATATACTATGTAGTAAGTTATATAAAGATTTTCCATTCTTTACTATTAAAGAAGAGGAAAAGTATAAAAATTGAATATTTATACTCAACAACAGGGCTAAAGTTAGCCAAACCTTTTGTCCAACAAATTTGGACAAATGTGCATTGATTTAAGTTTGGCCGAATACAATGAATGTAGTATTGCATATCTATTTATGAGGTGGAGTTTTTTCGCAAAATATCTAAAAAGAGTTCAATATAGTATTACAATGAGAGAGTTTGATTTTAGACATGCATAGCTTATGTCAATTAAACGCTTATGTTATACTTATCCTCCACAATAATAGTTTGCTTAGTCCAACCTTATGATGATCACCTATTTGATATTATAGGAAATAATGTCTGGAGAGACATTTAAGAAAACTCTTGAAGTTAGAGTAAGCTATCCTCAGGGGGGTCAAACTTATAAGTAGTTGTTGATGTTGCCTCGGATTTGGCTCGACCATTCACTACAAGAAAATGTGTTAATAATAACCCCTATTTGTTCATATCTTTGATCGTCGTACGCTTCGCAGATATATCTGGGGTCTAAGGGGAAGAGCCCCTGGTGGGGTTTGACCTACCCGGTCAGGTCGCGGGGTCAAAGGGCAGCATCCCTACGAGGGCTTTGTGGGGCAGTGCTTTCGGAACAAATTTTATTTACTAAAAAATAAAATGATGAATTTTATTTACTATTTGTTGGGGGCAATCGCTTAAAGATCATGGTATTAAAATTTTTTATAATAAATATTAAAAAATAGATGAATATGACAAATTATCTAAATAATCATATAATAAATATTTTTTTAAGGGTAGTCGTGTTAGGGACGACTTGATAGGTTTATTTTCTCGGTCAACTTGATAGATCATACTCACCTATTAGACTTAACGAATTCCTTTTGAGCTAATGTCAAACACAATCATTAAATGATGTAATTAAATTAAATCAATACAGCCAGTACTTATGTAAAAGGTTTAAGGAGGGCCTAATTCAAAATACGTAAAGATGATTTACAATTTTAATTTTTTACAATTGGCTCTTAAGAAAAAGTGAACGATATTTTTGTAACAAATAAATAAATAAATAACATAATCAAAACATAACAATTCATTAATTTTTTACCTAAGATTTTTTATTTCTATAATTTAAAAACACCTTTTATGAATTAGAATTTCTAATTTTACATAAAATGTCTTTAGCTTTTCATTTGCAAAATACAAAAAAATATTTTTAGCTTCAACCTAAAATATTTTAGGTTCCTAACATAGGGGTTTAAGGGAGTCAAACTAGCTCGTGAGACTGCTTGGGCTCGGCTAGAAATACGACTCGTGAGGCAAGCTCGATGTGCTAGCAAGGCAAGTTTAGGTCAGTCCCGACTCGACTCGTAAACTCCAAGTCATGCAGTCAGTTTGTTTAAAAAATATTAATGTAAAATAAAGTTAAATATAATGATATTTAAGTAAAAAATTATTTTTAAACAAATTAAAATTATATCTCATTTCACTCTATATATCAAGTAATTTCTTATTAATTTCCTTTTCTTTTATTCATTTTTTAATAATAATTACTTGGATTAAAATAATTTTCTCTTTCATAATAAATGATCCGGCTGGTGAACCGACTCACTCAATCACCTAGATTTAAACTCGAACTCCATTAACTAATCAAACTCAAGTCCAAGCTAGAAATTTAATCAAGAGATTAAGTTATATATAAAAAAAAAATTTCAAGCTAGAGATATGTACACCCATATATCAATCATTCACTTTCATAAAAGTTATGCTACACATCGATAATTGTAAAAATATAATTGATTTTATTATATTTTCAATCTTATTAAAAATTTATTCGAATTAAAATCATTTTATATATTTTATAATAAATAAGCTAATTTAAAATAGATTTAAATTTGAATTCTATTAATTAGCTTACTTAATGATGCAAATATTGGCCCCGCAAAAATTTCAGCTTTCCCACATACCAGTCATTGCATTCATGTCATCCCACATGCCATGATCATCCCATCCAATGCTGCCGATCCATGCCATCCACAACATCTCTCCCGCACCCATCTCAAATCCTTTATAAGCCCACTGCAATTCATTCCGAAGGGCTGCATTGAGGAAATCGACATGGAAGAAGAGGCCGAGTGGTCGAGAAAGGGGCGGAAGAAGGCTGACGCCGCCGTGATGCTTGAGGGCTATGTCAACAACATCAAGCCTCCGGTGATTTCCGGCGAAGGGGAGCCTGGGGTTTGTAGAACGAAGAGCCTGACCGACGAGGACCTGGAGGATCTCAAGGGGTGCTGCGACCTGGGATTCAGTTTCAGTTACAAGGAGATCCCGGAGCTCTGCGACACGCTACCAGCGCTCGAGCTCTGCTATTCTATGAGCCAGAGGTTCCTCGATGAGCAGCAGCAGTACCACTCCTCTGCGGACAACGCCGGCGGAGTGGCTTCACTGGTCACGCTTCCTCGTGTCGCGAATTGGAAGATTTCCAGCCCTGGTACCGCTCTCATCGACTAGCTTCTGTTTTACTGGTTTGTCTGAAATGTCTTTAAAGCTTCATCCTTTTTTTTTTCTGACTATAAGATTCTTATTGAATTTTTAGTTAAGTGTTGCTTGAACTCTTAATTTGGATTTGTCTTCATACAAGTTAACTGATAAGCTAGCAAACTGTATCGAATTAATCATCTTAGTTTATCATGTTCGGTTACAGTTTACCAGTTAAATCATAAAATTTGTAATTTCATTATAATATTCATCGTTCTGATCATCTTAGTACCATTGGCACATATTTTTTTTATAGATTTGTGTTCTTATAGTGTTAGAATAATAATTGTAATGAGTAGTTAGGATTAGGTTAGTGGTCAGTGGGCCATGTAATTTTATAAATATTTCTCAGGAAGAATTAGGATATGCAAAATAAATGAAAGCTTTTGCTGCTCTCTCCCTCCCAATGACTTCCTGGGGGTTGTGGACATCCTCGAACTGCCCGTCTCTTCTTACTCCATTAATTTTTAGAATTTTAGTCAAGCTTTAGTCATGGATGTTCTCACTAGACATTTGCAAGAGGATGTACCTTGGACCCTTGGTGTATGCTTTTCGCTGATGCTATTCTTCTTGTTGATAAGACTAGAGTTGAAGGAAAACATGAATTATGGAGATCAACCTTTGAGTCTAAAAGTTTTCGCTTGAGTAGATCTAAAACTGAATATATGGAGTGTAATTTTAGTAGTAATAGGCTTAATGGGGGGATTGTGATTTTGGGGGATCAAGTTATTAATAAGAGTACACGTTTTAGATATATTGGATCTATTGTTCAAAGTGATGGTGAAATAGATGGGGATATTATCAGTATAATTCAAATTGGATGGTTGAATGGAGGAATGCATCTGGCTTGTTGTGTGATAGAAAAGTCCCCTCAAACAGAAAGGAAAATTCTATAAGATAGTGGTGAGATCTGCAATGCTTTATGGTGCATAATCTTGGTCATTAAAAGAGAAGCATAATACTATGTTAAGTGTTGCAGATATGAGGATGCTCAGGTGGATGAGTGGCTTTATCCTTAGAGACAGGATACGAAATGAGCATATACGTGAAAAGGTTGGAATAGCTCCAATGCAAGATAAGGCTAGAGAGAGTCGCCTTAGATGGTTTGGTCACATAAAACGACGGCCTTCTGATGACTCGGTTAGGGAAGTATAGTTATTAGATTTGACTTATATTAAGAAAGTTAGAGGTAGACCTAAAAGACTTGGTTAGAAAATATTAGAAATGATCTTTCCTTATTTGATTTAAACGAGAATTTGACTTTTAACAGGACACAATGGAGAAAAAGGATTCATGTAGCCGACCTCATGTAATGGGACAAAGGCTTGATGTTGTTGTAGTAGTCAAGCTCAAAGTAGCTTAGTTATCCCTGTATATTTCTTATTTTCTCTTTATTTCTGCTTTTCCTTTTTCTGTTAGTGTTGTAGCATATAGACTTCAAGTCAATGTGCAACTTGCCTACAGAATTTAAACAAACCATTATTCCGAGACCTTGAACTGATAACTTTTACTGTTCAGTAGAAAGCATTCTCTTTTACATCCTTCTTGTCTGGGTTTGTTTATTTGTTGGGAAATTTAGTATAGTTTTCATTAATGCAACAAATGCTAGGCTTATAGTTTTCATGGTTTAGGTGTTCAGAACTTGATATCCATTCAAGATACCATAGTTTTCGAATGAAGTGAGCCTCAAGAAATGTCCTCTTTCTTGATATTTTTGAATGAACTGAGAACAATATTTGTCAAGTATTCGTCCTTCTTGTTGTGACATTAGATGAGCCCATGCATATCAGCGCAAGGAGCTTATAACAAGAAATGCTAATTCTTATTCAGCAACTCCTTATTTTTTGCAAAGAAGGATTACATCATAGAGATCACTCTCTTCAATCTTTTGAATTTTAGTATGTATTATCTAATACTGATGATGATAATTATTCTTCGTTTTAATTGTACAGTAATTCAATGTATTAAATTTGCTAATCAAAATTATATATATCTACTTGCTTCAGGTGATAATCCTGATGAAGTTAAAGCCAGGCTGAAATACTGGGCACAAGCAGTGGCATGCACTGTCAGATTATGCAGCTAGTGGGGATTTCCTCCTCCAACCTGTTTGTATATTGCAACATACTTAGAATGTGAATGTGAAAAATTGAAGGTTGTCGAAAATGTTGCTCTGTTATAAAATTTTCTTCTGATGAAAAACGAGTAGTTACTTTTATGAATGAAGAAGATGAAGAACGGATTGAATTGAATTCCCTTTGGAGCTAAAGAGGCAGTATGTGCTTTAACTTGATGATTTCTTGACTACTATTCATGAAATGAAGAGCTTACATGTTGATGACCATTGATCTCTTCCAATCTATCGTTTACTTATTCTAATAATATTCAAGTTTCAAAGAAAGGTTGCAAAGAGAGCATTTTTTTCCTTTTATTTTATTGGTATGATCTGAAGTTCTGCTTTTAAGTTTCTCACTTATCTATGAAGTTTAATAGCCAATGGCATCGTTGATATACTAGTGATCAAGTTAAGCAATTTTGTTTGTTGTATTGGATATTGAGGGTGCAAGCCCATGAACTTCGTGAAGAGTCCTATGCAATGGCTTTGGAATTAGGATAGATAACTATGGCTGCTTACAGAAGTGTTGTAAACTTAAAGTCATTACAAAATTGTGATTATCATAGGAAAGACGTTATTTTCAAATATTACTTTAATATTCAAGTTTTGTTATTTTCTGGAGTCTCCTCTTTTTTTTTTTGTTTTTCAAAACTCTTGCTAAGCTTGACCACTTTCAAAGTTTTAAAATAAGTTTGGCTTAGCTTTTAAGTGGTATTTACTACTCAAGGGATAGGGCTGCAAATGAACCGAGCTGGGTCGAGTATGTGTGTGCATGTTCATGTTTGAGTTCATTTATTATCAGCTTGTTCAAGTTCGGTTCGAGTTTTTTTTGTTTGTGTTCAAGCTTGGTTTGTTTAAATTAATGAGTGTTCATGTTCGATTCATTTCGTGCTTGTCAAGCTTTAAACAAATGAGCTTTATCGAGCTATAAATGAGCTATACTTCTAGATGTACATAACAAAAGAGCGTTATCGAGCCTTCTGACAAACATTTATATCAAGTCCGTTTGTGAACATATCTAGCGAAATTTTTTAAACTATCAAACAAGTTTGTTCACGAACATATTTAATGAGTATTCTTGAGCTATCAAAATGAGCCCGTTCATGAACATATCTAATTAGTATTTTTAAGCTATCAAATGAACTCATTCACGAACAAGCAATCTATGATTTATTTTATAATTGTTCAAAGAGCGGGTTGTTCGTGATTTTAGGCGGATGAGGGAAGTTAAAAAAAAAATTTATTAAATAATTTTAGATGGGATTAGTAAAAAAAATTATTAAATTTAACAATATATATATATATATTTTAAACTCTAATATAGTTCTAATCTAGCTTCATAGTCGAGCTCTAATATAGCTTCTTAACGAACTTGTTCATGAGCGTTAAACGTTATTGTTCATGAACATAAACTAACAGAATGCCAAGTTGTTCAAGATTATTCGTTTACCTTATCAAACGAATATGAATGAGCTCATATCGAGCTGAGCCATGAGTAGCTTGTCGAACGTTCGATTCATTTGTAGCCCTACCCATATCATCACAGAACTCAAACCCATCTCCAACAATATCACACATCTTGTTATTATCATTCATATAAGTTGGAGTCTTTCTTGATAAAAGATGAATATTTGTATACACAAACTAAATTTTCACTCATTATGGAGTAATTTTGTTCCCCTTTATCGATTGAATAATTGATTATGTGCTCCAATTTTTCTCACAATAAGAACAAGATGAAACTTGACAAAGATATTTTATGAAAATAGTTTGAAGTAGAGGTGTTGAAGCTGCATGAATCAGCCATCACATCTTTGGTTCTATTCTCCATCTATCATAGATTCTTGATCACCAAAATTCTCTAAATATCCAGAAAAACTCCAATGGAAGAGGAAGCCGCATCGCATTAACCATGAGTAGTAGGCAATGATATCTCTTTACGAGGAGCTCTTTTAATCATTGACTAAGCTTCATAAACCTATCTTTATATTTCATTCAACTATGAAGTATTAATCTTAGGAAAAAATTTAACTCCATGCCCAACAATTCTTAATAAACATGTTTTCACTCTAGAATATGATCCTCTATAGGTTACACCACAATAATTGCATTTAAATATAATATTTCCTCCACCTTTAGAAGTTTTTCCTATCTTCGTAACATAATTCCGTAAAGGCTTATTTTCTTCTATAGAAGGCTCTGCTGAAACTTCATCACTCTTAATTCTACCATCACTACAACTCATTTTGCTTTTAAAGAAATTGATGGAATGGAAGAAAGAAAAGTACCTTTAATAGAACATGTTGAACAACCCTATATATTGGCCTAAGAAGATATGTCACAATCTTATTATCCGCCAAGATCAACCAAGAGACCAACCCGAATAATAAGGTTAACTATTAGAGCTCAAATCACTTACAAATGACTATGTCAATGATGAAATGCTTGCTACATCAAAGATGAACTATCTGCAACAAAGGTGTGAATTTAATTTTCTAAGTTAATCAAAATAAAGCCTTAGCAAATTGGCTTCTACATGAGAAATACAATTGCATGATAATTTTAACACATTAACTTACTAAATATGCTTTATGAGTAAAAAGAGTAGATTTGGTTCTTACACTTTGCTTGTATATGTGAATAGGCATCCGGTAGGTTATTAATAAAAAAATTATTTACTAATAAAATGATCATTAAATTATAAATTTGAAATTTACATTTTACTTATTTTTCTAACTAAATATAGGGACACGTGTTTTTTGATTTTATCTAAATATTATTTTATTTGGACACATTCTTGCCATGTCTGATAGGTGTCAGGCATGTGTTCGTGTCTGATACGTGTCCGACATTGCATTTTTTCATTTTTTTGAGCAAAATCTTAAATTATATATATATATATATATATATATATCCACTCGAGCACAAGTCAAGCTTGTATGATGAGCTCAAGCCAAAATCAGAGCTCTTTAAAGAAGCATCAACAAAGCGAGTCGACTCATGACAATATTTGTTGGAGAAAGCATCGTTAGGACTCGAGACTAGTTGTATGTGATGAAGAAGATGAGTTCACTAGAAAAGGTAATGATGATAAACCATTGAAAATGGCACTGTGGGGACTAACGAGGTGTGCTAAAGAAGAGTTTGTTGGAAAAGTTAATGACTGGAGTTTGATGGATAAGGTGTCATCAAGATTAAGAACATGTGTTAAAGAGGTGAGTTTTGCTAGAAAAACATAATATTATGACCATCAATATGCGAGTCAGAATTCTCGTATGTGAGCTAGGGTTAATGAACTTAGTTTGTAGCCATACGATACTTCATCTTATTTTGATCAAATTACGGAGCAAAAAAAACGAGTTTTATCATTTTAGTCTATTTTGAGTTGGTTTCTGAGCTAACGAGCCGATTCACAATGAGATTGAGCTCAAGCTCATATAATTCATGAACTCAAATCCGAGTTCAAGCTGCAATTCATGGTTCAATAAGCCCAACTTATAAAATCATTAGCGAGATGAGTTTGAGCAGCACAGGATGCCTTGGATCAAATACACTAATAAATCATTACTTATCAGAACAAGAATGAAACTCTTATTATAGGTTTTAAAAATGATAACAACATAAGTTTATAAATAATAATTATTTTAAAGACTTGAGATGTAAAAAAATGTTGTTAGTTGATGTGAAATCGTTGAAGATATAACTCTACTTTCCTCAATAACAATGTAATATTTGACGACATGATCTTTGATTGACTTAGGTCATAAACTTGAATTATGAACAAAATATGATTGCGTCATGTTTGAATCATGCTCGAACCTTATTCGAATATTGCTTGAATAATGTTTGAATTTTGATTAAAACTTTTTTGAATCTTATTCCAACCATCTTCAAATCATGCTAGAACCTTATTCAAATAATGATTAAACATGTTCAAATCATATTCGAACAAAACCCAAACCTTGTTCGAATATTGCTTGATCCATGTTAGAACATTCTTTGAACCCTGCACAAACCATACGTGAAGTTTGTTTGTTTGAATATTTTCAAACATTGTTTGAATCATTTTGAACCTTATTTGAATATTGTTCAAATTTTCTTCAAATTTTTTTTAAATTACTTAAAACATGTTTAAATATTATTCAAATCATATTCAAAAAATTGATTTAGGTTCCAAAATGATTCGAATATATAGCATCCAAAAATATTTGTAACAAGTAATATAATATCTAAAGTCATTTAGACTTAAAACTTAGATTAATACTAATGCATTCAAATCTAAATAATTTGAAAAAAAAATATACTAAATGGTAGCTTATTTTGATATTTTCTATAAAAAAAATTATTAAAATATATAAATCACTCATCGGTAAGGGAACTTTTATTACGTCCGGTGTAAGGACGTAGAGGAACGTCCGGTTGGAGGCAAAATCCCGTCAAAAAATTCGGTTTTTGCTTGGTACAACTAGTTATTATTTGATATTAACGAGAAATACCGCTCTTTGAAGACCAATACCGAGTTATACCGAGCTGTACCGAGAAATACCGAGTTGTACCGAGAAATACCGAGTTGTACCGAGAAATACCGAGTTGTACCGAGAAATACCGAGTTGTACCGAGAAATACCGAGTTGTACCGAGAAATACCGAGTTGTACCGAGAAATACCGAGTTGTACCGAGAAATACCGAGTTGTACCGAGATATTTTCTATAAAAAAATTATTAAAAATATATAAATCACTCATCGGTAAGGGCATCGGTCTCACTATTTATATTCAAGCGCTAAGTAAGGCCAACGGGATCTCCGATTTGGCCTGTGATCGCCGACGACCACCAAGCACAGTACTTTTCGTTGATTTATACTCCTTATCACCCCTTCTCAACTAAAGTTTAGTTCGGCCGGCCGATATCTCTAGACCGGTGAACTCCGCTGCGCCAGAGGCGCCTCTCCACCAGATTTAGGGTTTCAGTATGGTTGACCTTCTGTTTGAGGATATCTTCACCGTAAGCCGAGTCGATCCTGATGGAAAAAAGTTCGACAAAGGTTTGCTAGCTTCATCAATTACTTTTCTAAGATTTCGTTCCATATCTTTGTTTTTTTTTTGTTTCATTCAAAATTCTTTTGATGGATTCTTATTTGCTTCTAGTAACTTTCAGGTTTTTTTTTTTAATTTAATTCTTTCCGCTTTATTCTTTTGAATTGATATCTATAATGAGTTATATAGTGATTTAAGCATTCTATGTTATAAAGTGATGGATTTTCTGGTTGGTTTGTAGTGTCTCGAA